CTGCATCCCCAGGGAGCTTGTCGGAAATGCAGGATCCCAGGTTCCGCCCCACACCTGCTCAACACAATCTGCACTGTAACCAGGTCCCCAGGGGATCCAGGTGCACGTTACAGTCTGAGAAGCTCAGTTTTGAGGGCAAGGACCCCTTGTTTACACATTTTTGCTTGCCCTTTGCACTTCTGAACGTGGAGCCGATAATAGGCCTAAAAAGGAATTAGTGAAAGAACAGGTATATTGTGAAGCTTCCACAGAAGATGCGTTTTTAGGCATCTCTTAACTTTAATATCTTCTTGTGAAATGACATGTTGCCCTTAATTTACATGGTAGACTTTTTATGCCCTTCCCCATTTTAAATGACCTTCTGAGCAACATAATAGGATTGCTTATATGTTCTCCAAGTGTCTTCAAATGTGAATTGCAGCCTTTAAAATGTCTTCATAAATAGAATGGGATTAAGGGAACCAATCCTTGCATGTTTTCGTTGGTGCAGGAGCTGTTGTGCATTGAAGCCTCAGAGCTTGTCTCTTCCCACCTATCCTCAGAGCCCGGGTGGACACCAAGCGAATTTTACTTCTCCCTGCCACGGTGCCCTCAGGCCATAGATCACCCTTTGATAGACCTCAGAGCCTTGTTTTGGATCAGATGGCAAGTAGTTCTTTTTGATTTGTAAGTAATTAACAAAAACACACCAAGAACATATTTGGAAGGCCCCAGCTACCACCACAGTAATGATGTAGACATGGAAACCCCATTAGCTTGCAGGTTCATGCATGAATAGCCATTAAAAAGTTAGGTGGTCAGTAGTCAAAAACACACAAGCCAAATCTGATGAGTTGGCTTTGCTATGAGTTTTGATTTATAAGGCACTATAAACATGTATGGCAAATTTCTAATAAGTTTGTTTTAAGCATTTAAACCCAACCCATATCAAAAGATTTAAATTTAGGGACATGGTGTTATAGCTGCAGATAGATCTATAAGGCTGAGCACTTCTTGGGTTTTGATGGTCTGACCAAAGTAGATAGCATGAAGTTCAGGGAGGATTTGGGAAAGAGAGGGAAGTATAAACAGTCTGATAGGTTTGGTCTAAATTGCTGGTTCCAGCTTAAGTGGTTTAAGCATATCTCAACCAGCACAGCATCATACTTACTTCTTAGGATGCAAGGTTAGCAAAGGTGTTTTAACCACTAGTGTTTTGAAATTTGGCTCTGAGTCCCATCTGAGTTCTAATCCCAGCTCAGCCATTTGACCACCTAATATTTATGTGACCCTAGGCAATCTTTCTATTTCCTCATCTACACATGAGGGTAGTAACATCGTGGAGATTAAATGAGATGATGTATGTGAAGTGCTTATTAGCACAATGCCTGGCACAAAACACTCAATAAAAAGGTAGGTATCAAAGATGATGACAATGACACGAAACCTGTAGAAAAGCAAGAAAGGAAGGTGCTCCACTGGACCCTCCACTCACTCTTTTCTGCCTCAAGGACTGTTTCTTTGATCATGTCTTCCAGTCTGTGCCTCTCAAAGTGAGGTCTCCCAGAAGTGCCGTGAGGACACCAAAGATTGATTTAAGCAGCACCCACTGAAAGAGTCCTACTAAATGCCAGGTGTTGGGTTAGGGGTGGGGCTGAAAAGATGACCAAGAAATGATGCTTTCCCCAGAGGAGGTTAACATCACTCCAGTAAAACAGTGGCTGTAAAGGAGTTGTGCATACATTACTCCAGAATGCAGATGAGGGGGTGTCCCTCTCTGCTTGGGGATTCAGAGAGGTGTTCCCAGAGGAAATACATAATCTTCTTTCATTTTAGCCCCCCCAGAAAGGCTGAGAGGAGGCAGTGCAGAAGGGGAAATTAAGGTCAGTAGGTAGAAGATGACATTTTTATTTAAGAGATTCTCAAGCTCTGGGGACTTACCTGAGGATCCTGGGGGATCTGTGTATGAAGCAGATTCCTGCGTCCAGTATTCCTGGGATGGAGACCAGGAATCTGCTCATTTAACAAACCTGCCTGGATATTCTGATGTAGGTGCTTTATACGGATATCAAAAGGTTGGCCTGCAGATCAACATGAGTGGCAACAAAACCTACATTAAACAGCTGGAAAAGGATCACCAAAGGTCCAGCAATGCACTGACTATTTGCACACCTAGCTATTCACAGTCTTAATCGGCTCAGGTTGCTGTAACGTCACCATGAAGTGGACGGCTTAAACAACAAACATGTATTTCTCATAGTTCTGGAGGTTGGGAAGTCCAAGATCAAGGCACCGGCCGACTCCATGTGTGGGGAGAGTTGGCTTCCCGGATCACAGATTTCACCTTTTGCTCTATTTTCACCCGGCAGAGGGCGGGGACAGCTTTGGGGGTGGGGTGTGTGTGTCTCTTTTATGAGGGACTAATCCATTCATGAGGACTCCACTCTCATGATCTAATCACCCCCCAAAGGCCCCACCTTCACATATCATCATATTTAGGGGCTAGGATTTCAACATGGGAATTTTATTTTATTTTATTTTTTTAAAGATTTTATTTATTTATTTGAAAGAGAGAGAGAATGGGAGAGAGCACATGAGAGGGGGGAGGGTCAGAGGGAGAAGCAGACTCCCCGCCGAGCAGGGAGCCCAATGCGGGACTCGATCCCGGGACTCCAGGATCATGACCTGAGCCAGAGGCAGTCGCTTAACCAACTGAGCCACCCAGGCGCCCGTCAACAGAGGAATTTTAAGGGGACACAAACATTCAGTCCATAACACCTGGCTAGCCATCTTACCCCAAGATTGAATGGCAAAGGATCAAAGGCACAGATGTGCTCAGGACTCGAGAACACTTGCCCAGGAACTTCAGAGGCTGTCCAGGAGCTTCAAGGCCATGGCAACTTGGGAGGAAGCCCACGACATGTAAGGGAGGAGCAGACAGCACACAGCTTACAGGGGATGGGTCCAGGTGCTCTGCTTCTCCAGCTGGTGTCAGCAGGCCCACTTCTTTCCTCCTCTTCTCCAATCACTTAGGCAATCATTTCTAAACAAGATGTGCCACTCACGTTTTTCCTTCCTCCAATACTTCGTGGGTACCACAATGCAAAACACTCCCTTTGACAACATTTACTAACATGTTTAAAGGAACTTTCCTCTACATCACCTTTCATAATTAGTATTAACTGGATTAATGTTAAGTAGGGAAGGGAAAAAATAATTTTCAAGTGAATGTTTTTTATACCAGGGTAAAGGACTAACTCTTTAAAGCTTAGGAAAATCGGCTTCTGCAAATTATCTTTTCTGAAGCTTCCAGCTGTATTAAATGCTGATGGTTTTTAAGCACCGAGATGAAAGAGACAAATTCTTTTTCTTTTGTGTTGCTAATTACAATTTTGCTTAGCATTATGAAGCCTGCTTTCCTCTTGAGACATTTGCCAGCATACATTAATTGTGCAAATATTTACAGACTGCTAAAGCACAGGGGCAGCTTCCACCAAAAAAGATATGGAACACTTGAAAAAAAGCCTCTCTGACACATTACATTTGTGGCCAGCTACCCAGAATCAGTGTAAACTATCTGCCCCTTAGCCTCAGCAAATGTGTTTAAAGAACATTGTCCCTGGGTTGATTTAGTGTTTGCTTGGCTGGCAATGGCCGCTGAAGTCTTTCTTCTAAAGCCTTCTTTTTCTCAGGGTTAAAAATAAGGTTTCCAAAAATGTATATTCATCTTATGGATTGCTATACTGTCAACACTTAATCTCTCAGGCCACCCACATGGCAAGGAAGAGGTCTATCCAGGGGTTGTTCCAAATGCCAGGAGTTTCAGAAAGCTAAACTGAACAAGCTAGAAGATTTGACTAGCTACTCCACAAGGCTCTAGGCTCTTGGAACCACCTTGTTTTCCTAGCACGCTAGTTAAGAACCAGGGCTTTGGGGTCAGACAGCCCTGTTCAACTCCTAGCGTTGGCCACTTCCAAGTTGCATGACCTTGAAGAATCTCTCAACCTCCACAAACCTCGTTTTTCCATCTTAAAATGGAAAGAGTCCTATGTAGGTACCTAGGAAATAGTACCAACCTCCAAGAGCCGTGTAAGGAGTAAATGAAATAATGAATGCAGAGCACTTAGCACAATGCCTGGCACACAGAAAGGACTGAATAAATGTTTGACTGCGTTTTTTAAACCAGCCCGAACTTATAAATAATTTAGGCCACAGACAGGAGAAAGGAAAAGGGGGCGGGGAAAGGAAGGGCGAGTGGATTCTAATATCCAGAAGAGGCTCTTTCTGAGGATAATGGCTACCCATACAGAAGAGAGGAGGAACGTGGGCAGGAGCTCAAGCTGACGAGTTGCTAGGAGATCACAGGAAGGCAAGAGAATGGCAGAGCCACCAGCCTGAGCTTCAGAAGAGGAATGGGCCCTGAGTGTACAGATGCCCAGTACAATACAGGGTGCCTAGTTAGTTTGAATCTCAGAACAATTTGTTTTAGTATACGTATGTCCCAAATAGTGCATGGAACATACTTACATTAAAAATTATTGTTTACCTGGACTTCCAATTTAACTGGGCATCCTGTTTTTGAGGAGTTTTGTTTTTGTTTGTTTTGCTCTGTTTTGTTTTTGTTGTTTTTTTAAGATTTATTTATCTGACAGAGAGAGACACTGAGAGAGAGGGAACACAAGCGGGGGGAGTGGGAGAGGGAGAAGCAGGCTTCCCTTGGAGCAGGGAGCCGATGTGGGGCTCCAATCCAGGACCCTGGGACCATGACCCGAGCTGAAGGCAGATGCTCAACGACTGAGACACCCAGGCGCCCCTGTTTTTGTTGTTTTGTTTGTTTGTTTGCTCACTGTGGCCACCCTGGCCCTAACTTCAGACAGCCACTCCTCCAGCTGCCCTCACCTCACCCTGGCCCCAAATTCTCACTTCACGGGGAAGTAGGGAGGAGCCAGGGAAATCATGTGGGAGAAGTGGCTGTGCAAACTCCACAGAACTATAAAATCAAGTAAAGGAGACATTTCTTTTGGTGGGTGTCGTTATGAAAACTCTGAATCATCAAGCAAAAGCCAGGTCTTTGTAAATTTAAGGAGATGTATGGAAAATTCCAAGGAGTTTGGGGAGCTTATTCAGAAGGGGACGTTCTAAAGACCCCAATGAGAGGGACTAGATGTGGTGATTCGCAACTGTGGCTGCACCTGAGTCTCACGTCGAATGTTTTTCCAGTCCCCAGGCAGCACCTAGACCAACTAAACCAGGATCTCTGCAAGTGGGACCAGGAATCCGTGTTGTTAAACCCCTCCATGTGATTCCAGTTTACAGCCAAGCTTGCAAAGCAGTGGTAGAATACACCTGTGAAAGGGAAGTTGAACAGGTCAGAAACCTTGGTCCCTGGGGAGGGTGCTAAGGGACGGTTACACCCTTTAGTGTAAACTTCCCTAAGAAGGTAAGGAGGGAAAAAAGAAAAACAAGTAAGAAAAACAAGGGAGGAGGGACTTTGTAGAGATAGGTATAGTCCATCTGCTTAAAAAAAAAAAAAAACATTTTAAACATTTTAAAGTAAGTACCAAGAACAAATGAGAATGGCTACTTTTAAAACCAGGAGGTTTGGGTGTGAGCAAAAAGCAGTGGGTTAGATAAGAAAAGCAGGTGAGAATTTTCTACCATTAACCCACCAGCACCTACCAGCCACATAACCATTGGGAACAGTGGTCTCTCTCATTCGAGAGGGCAAAATGATCCGTTTGTGATTGAAAAGGGCTGTGTTGGAGGATTTGTACTTTCCATGAAATCACAGATGGCTCACAATTTTTCCTCTAACTTCTGACAGGACTTGTGGTAGCTGAGGACCAATTTCTCTTTCAGGCATAAAGATTTAGAAGTTGTGGGTGGTTATGTAAAAATGCAGGAATTCATGTGCTGAGTAAGTCACACCTACATGAGAAGCCAGCACTTGTCTTTGACTAGCTAACCGTGATAGTCACCTACAGGAAAATAACCTTTCATATATATTTTTTTCAATCAACAAATATTTATTGAACTATGTGCTAAGCACTGTTCCTGGCATTGGGGATAGAACAGGTAACAAAACAGTCTCTGTCCTCACTGAATTTATATTTTAGTAGAAAATACAGATAGTTCATATATTTTCATATAGTGAGAAGTGTTATAAAGAAAGATAAAGCAGGATAAGATGACGTAGGAGAAGGGCAAGTTAATTTAGGTAGAAAGCTGGGAAAGCCCTTTCTAATGCCTACATCTGAGCAGAAACTTGAGTAGAGTGAGGGGACGCACCATGTGGATATGTGAAAAAGGATGGTTCTAAGCAGAGCAAGCAGCAAGTGCAAAGGCCCTGAGGCAGCTACCACCTGGCCCTGTTTAAGAAACATCAAGAAAGCCAGTGCTGCAGAGCAGGGTGCTAGGCAATAAGGATGAAAGGCAGGCAGGGCCAGATCATGTAGGGCTTTCAACCATGGTGAGCACCTTGGATTTCATGCTAATGCAATAGGAAGTCATTGGAGGGATTTGAGCAGGGAAGTGATAGGATCTGATGAACTACTGTAAAAGACACTGTGAAGACTGGCTTAAAGAGGGAAAGAGTAGAAGCAGGGAGCCCAGGTGGGAAGCCGTTGCTGTAGTTGCCTAGGTGGGGTGATGGCAGGTTGGAGTGGCCACGAGGTTGTGAAAGTGGTCAGGTTTGGGCTTTATTTGGGAGGTAGAGCCAGCAGGATTTGCTGATAGGTTTGAAGTGGGATTGTGAGAAATGCCAGAAACTGAGGATGGCTCCCAGGTATACGGCACAAGCAGGTAGATAAATGGTGCCATTTCCTGAAACCGGGAACATGTTTGGTGGGGGGGTTGAAAGTGGTGAAATCAACATTTCTGTTTTGCACAAGTTGTGTGAGCTATCTACCAGACACCTGAAGGCCCCCTCCAGTAACCCATCCGATATCCATCCTCCCTGTATTCGCTTCCAATTGCTGCCATAACAAATGAGCACACATTTAGTGGCTTAAAACAACACTAATTTATTCTCTTAGAGTTCTAGAGGTCAGAAATCTTAAATCAAGGTCTTGGTAGAGCTGTGTTCCTTCTGAAGACTTAAGGGGAGAAATCTATTTCCTGGCTTTTTCTGGCTTCTAGAGGCTGCCCACGTTCCTTCCCCCTTGGCCCCTTTCTCTAATCTTCAGCCTGGCAATATAGCGTCTTCTCTCTCCTGTGGCCAAATGCCTCCCTCTTACAAGGACCCTTGTGATCACATCAGGTCTGCCTGGCTAAGCCAGGATGACCTTCCCATCTCAAGATCCTTAACTTACATCTGCATGTAAGATTATATAAGGCAATATATTCATAGGGTCTAGGGATTAGGATGTGGACATATTTGGGGGGGTCATTATTTAGCCTACCCTATGTCATGACTTTCTTATCCTCAAAAATATGATTGAGGTCAAAAGAGTAATGTGCCTAACTAAAACACCACATTTCACAGGAGTATTTGCCTGTAAAGGTGACTAGAGCAGCTTGCCAACAGAAACTAGCACATGCCGGTGGTGGTCACGCCTAACTCCTTGTGCTCATCACTGTGGTGCAGTGGCTTACTCTCAAGTTCTTTCCCTGAGGAGTCCCTCTGGTCCCTGAGCCCACTTTCTACTTGTGCAACAGGCCAGAAGTGCTCAGAAATTAATGTCCCCCTGATGACTGACAGGAGTTGGTATATAAATAGCCCAACTCCCTCACCCCTGGATGAGATGAAAGGCAGCTCCCAGAGTTTTTCAGTGGGATTCAGCTTCAGTTACCCCCAGTGGTAACTTATCTAATATCAAACCTTTTTTTTTTTTTTAAGATTTATTCATTTATTTGAGGGGAGGAGGGAGAAAGAGCATGTGAGCATTGGTGGGAAGGGGCAGAGGGAAAGGGAGAGAAATCCTCAAGCAGATTCCCCACTGAGCATGGAGCTCTATGCAGGGCTCAGTCTCAGGACCCTGAGATCATGACCTGAGCCAAAATCAAGAATCGGATGCTCAACTGACTGAACCACCCAGGTGCCCTTGATATCAAACCTTTTATCAGCTAGTTTCCCTTCTTTGTTGTAAAACGGGAAGAATAATATCTGCCTTGCCTCCCTCAAGAGGTTTTTGCATGAACAGAAGGAGACACTGCAAATGCTTCGTAAATGGTAAACTACAGAATCAGTTAAGGCGGCATTATGAGACCCATAGACTATTAGGGCTGTTAGGTACCTGGCAGTCATCTTGTCACCCCCAACCCCCAGAAGGAGAAAGAAGACAACTCCAAGTTCTTCTAGTGAATCGAAGCAGACCACAGCATAAATTTGGTGTCCCAATTCCAGATCTAGTGGGGTTTGGCTCCATCATGATGTTTGTTACCCGGTTCTCTCTTAGATGATTTCTAAGCCTCCTGGGGCCTCTATTTATTCATGTGAAACATAGAAAGAGTGACCTGGCACCCACACTATCACTATGTGGAGTGTTTTGGAGAGTCTTCAAAATCAGGGAGCTCAGCCCCTCTCATTAGAGGTGGGGCTTATGCACAAACTCAGTTGCAAATTGCAGACACAACGCCATTGATTTATTTGACAAACACTTGTAAAGTACTTAATACCTTCTGAGGACTCTTATAAGCTCTTTACAAATATCTGTTCATTTTGCCTCATCTTAATGGATGAAGAACTAGATAGCTAGTACCATCAGGTACATGAGAGACATAAATTAAAATCTCTCAAGGATGATGTCACCTTAGCCTTCAAATTGTTTTCTACATATGATGTTAGAATATTATATCCAGTACCCAAGCAAAGGTAACTAGGCATGCACAGAGATCAAATAGCATCTAACAAAAACGAACAGAGGGGCGCCTAGGTGCCTCAGTCGGTTAGGCTTCCAGCTCTTGATTTTGATTCAGGTCATGATTTCAGGGTCAGGAGATTGAGCCTCAGTGGGACTCCGCACTCAGTTGGGCGTCTGCTTGATTCTCTCTCCCTTTCCCTCTGCCCTTCCCCCTGTTCATGCTTACACTCTCTGTCTCTTTCTCTCTCTCTCTGTCAAATAAATAAAAATTTTAAAGAAACATAAATATCTGCTTATTTGATCCTCATCACAACTTTATCAGGTGACTACTATTATCATTCTCACTTTCAAGATGAGGAAACTGAGGGAGGTTAAGTGACTTCTGTAAGTTCACAGAGCACAGCAATGAACCTGGGAAGTCTGACTGCATGATCAAAAATTGTATGCTATCACCTTTTTTACCCTTCCTTTCTTATCCTTTGTCTCCCTCCAAACTCCCTGCCCCCATCTCTATCCCTGAGCCAGTTCCCAACATTCAAATCATAACATCTCCCAATCAAAATGATTTCCATTTGCACAAGACCATTTAATGTAAGTTGACTTAAATAGTCAAGGGAATATTAGTTTGTCCTAATCAATAAGTCAAGCATGGTTTGACCCAAAGTTTGCCAGTCATCAAGAGAAATGTTCTGCGTCTCCGTGATTCTTTCAGCTCTATTCTTTCCTTGTGTCAGCTTCATTTTCAAGTTGGCTTCCCTCAAGGAAGCAAAATGCTCTTTTATCCACACACTGCACCACCCAGAGGAAGAAAGGGAGCCTCTGACCCAGAATCCCACTCACAAGGCAGATTCCCTCTGCCTCTGAACCAGTGGGTGAGGCCAATGCTGGGATCAAGACAGTGTCTACTATCCAAGAGTCACATGTGCCCCGGGGATAACTGGGGAGTGGGAGGGTAGGGAGGCTTCAAGACTCAGCTGAGGTGTCACCTCCTCCATGACATCTCCCCTTTGGTTTCATCCCCTTCCGCCTTTGGAAGAACAGGTCCTTCCTCTGAATTCCCATGACTCCTGATTTGCCTTGCTCTGACAGCACTCACCACTTCATGTTATTCATTTTGGATTCTTCTTGAATCCTCTTCACTTGCTTCTCCAAAGAACTCTCCACTGTTCTCCATTCTTCTCTGCTATGTTCTGTACCCCAGCAGATGGACCATTTCTCTTTTTAGCCCACTCCCATCAGATTTTCTCCTCTACACCACTCCACTAAAATAGCTCTCGCCAAGATCATGATGGCCTCCCTCTTGCCAAATCCAGTGACCAGTTCTCAGTTCTCATCTTGCTCATTCTCTTGGCAGCATTTGGCATGGATGACCCTTCCCTCCTTCCAAAACATTTGCTTCCACTTCCAGATACCACACGCTTCTGTGTTGTCACATACTCCTCTGCTCCTTTCTAATCTCCTTTGCTGGCTTCTCCCCTTCCTGCTCCACCTCTACTCAACCCTACTCTCTCCATGAGGGCCATAGTTTTGAGAGTGGCAACTTTCGCCTTCCTACAACCACTGCTTCTGTGTGGTGGCACCTCACCCACAGCTACTGCTCTCATCAGAATCTGGCAACACTGCTACCTCCTCTTATCCCAGCAGGCCTGGAGGTGGTGAAGACTTCCCACCATTGCTAGACACTGAATGCTTCCCCACCCCTTGTTGGTTCTCTTAATCCAGCCAACACCTCTATAGATAGACCCTTTAACAAGTCTCTTCCATAAATCCTTGGAGCATGCTATTCCCTGCTAGGAGCCTGAGTAACACATTGCTTGGTTTTGTTATGTCACTTAGCTCCCATATTAGCTTATAAGGTCACTAAGAACACTGCCCGTGTTTAATTCTTCTTTTATCCCCAATAGTGCTTGCTATCCAGTTGGTACCAATAAATACTGAAATAAAATATTCTTTCTTATTAACTGCCTTCAACTTGAACAGGAAATCAAAGTGATACAAGCATTAAAACACACACACACACACACACACACACACACACACACACACACACCTCCCAGGACAAAAGGCAAAAGAATGAAATAATGGTAAGTGCTGATTTTATGGGTTTTGCCTGATTCCTCAAATTCATAATTTATTCAAAATCCATATGGAACATGCTTTTTCTTCTCCAGGCCCAGACATGAAAGATAGTTACTTTTGTTACAATAGAAATTGAAGTACAAATAAACTGAGAAGGAGGGAAGATCCATTGCTGACCAAGAGGAGGATCTAAGAAACATAGGGTGCCAGGAGTTGCATCATACCTTATGCAGGAGATGGGTTTTTGGGGAAGAAGCTATTCTGTGGGGTCCCAACTTTTGGGAGTCCCCTTCCTACTTTGCTTGTTTCTCTCTCTTCCTATTATGAGCTATATTACTACCCTTTCCCTACCAACCCTGATCCCACTGCCCCAGTGGCAACCAGGTGGGCAATATAAGGACTCAGGGCAATCAAGGGAAAGGTAGAGAAGAAAAAAGAAGCCCCATCGTCTCTCATCTGGCCCCAGTGGTAGTCTTGTTCGCTATCTCCCTAGGCCACAATCTTCAGGCCATCCTCTATCACCTATAGACATCCCCTGTTCCCCAGAAATTGGACCCAAGAATTCTTTCGCAATAAAGAGGATTTTGGCTTCAATCTTCTATGGATCCAAGGGTCCTCTTTTGACATCTGTGTCTGCTTTTGCTTTTACAAATGAATCCAAGAATAAAAATAGACACTGCTGTGTATGCGTTGAGGGAGGTGGGTAGACGACTACCTTTATTCTCTTTCTCATATTTCAAAAACCATTAGAGAGCCTCAAAAAGCATAAACTGGATGTCCACGTGGATGACCAAACACCCTACCCTCTCAGTTCCTTGACCTCATCACCAATGACCTTCCTTCTCCACTATAGCAAAGCCACCCACTCCCTACAGCTGCTCTACTTTTCAGATCAGCGGTCAGTCATGCTGACTCCAAGCACTGCTTCTTACCTTTCCAGCCAACTTGCCCTATCTTTCTTCAATCTCACCAGTACGTCCTCCCTAGGAGTCCCCTTCTATTCTCTCTCCTCCATATGCCCCTCCGATTCCATGGTTCATCATTTGGGGCAGGCTTTTGCAAATATCCTAAGTTCCCTTGCTCCTTTTTCTATCTGTGGTACCTTCCTGGCAATAAATAAATAAATAAATATTTTTAAAAAACACACCAAAACACCATTAACCTGAAATGAACCTCAACCTTCAGCTTCCCCATCCTGTTCCTGAATAGCTGAATGCCACTAGAGAAAATCACATATCAGTCAGACAGGAATCTTGCTAAATTCAAGGGCACAAATCTCAAGAGACTCTCAACACTCCCAGCATCAAGCAATACTTGCAGAGTGGGCAAATATATAAGGAAGGAACTGGGGATTCTGAAATGAATGCCCTGCTTGCAGGTAGAGGAGCAAGCAAAAAGACAAAGCAGAAGAGAACCAGATGAGAAGAGTACATTGGAAGCAAAGAGGAGGATTTCAACAAGGCTTGACTGTCATTGCCTCTTGTGAGCAAACCCTTTTTAAAAAAGATTTTATTATTTATTTGAGAGAGAGAGAACACAAGTGGGGTGGGGGGTGGTGAGCAAAACTCTTATTTTTAGGAGTTGTTGGGTGGCCGTACAGGAGAGCCTGCCTTGTGCCACCCTGTTGAGGACAACTCTGTTACGGATGAAGAAGCAAACTGTCCCGGAGATCCTTGGCATGTGCAAGTGTGTTGGAGAAGTCAGGCTTTTGTTTCCTCATCTGGTAGAAAGGAATCCCCCCTACCTTCCCCGGGAGGACCTTGGGAGGATACGGATGGGTGGGAAGCAAAGGCATTATTTCAACAGTAATGAGTGTACAAGGTCAGGGCAAGGCTGACACTGTTCTCAATAAGAAGCGTTGTGACTATGAACAAAGGCTAGTGGGAATTTTTTTTTTATTTGTTTGCTTTTATTTTCTGATACTAGACAGTTGGAATGCCAAGGGCAGTTCTGTGCCAAGCCACAAAAGGAATGAAAGCCCAGAACTTTCCCTAGGACAGCAACTTCCATACGAGCTAAAGGAAAGCATAAAATCTGCCCTAAGGTAGTAACTTAGGAACTTCCTGTTGGTTCACATTTCAAACAGATTGTATTTAATTTTCACCGTACCCCTCAGAGCTCAGAGTGGACAGCCAGCGATCAGGTCAGGAGACCCAGGGACAGGGCACTTGGCTGAGAACTGAAGCAGCGACCCCCTGGTGTCTAGTAAGTACTGCTTGGTTTGAATGTTTTAGGTTCTCAAGGCTGTTGTAATCTGAAATACTAATTGAACAAAATTGCTGTTTTGGGCTCGCGGTTCATAACTGTACAGTCAGAAGGAGATAGGACCTCTTGGTATCGCGCTGATTAAATCCCAAATGACATTAAAATGAACAGGTTATAAGCAATGATAGTGGGTAGATTCCTCTGACTGAGATCAAAGAGAGAAATCTGAAAGGCTTTTTTGTTTGCCGGCAATGACAAGAAATGCAAGTAGAACTATGAAAAGGTTTAATTCTTCTTTCTTAAATAGGAGGAAAAGCAAAGTGGTTCAGACAACTCTCAGGTTAGCATTCTGGCTCTGCTTCTTTTTTAGTTACGTGGTCAAAAGCAAATTGCTTAGTATCTCTGATAACAGGTTCCTCATCTGTAAAATGGGTATTATACCATTGTAAAAGTAGTGTCAGTTTTATGGTATTATATGTAAAAATATATGTGAAATCTATATATTTTATAAATAAAAATATATATGAAATTGAATGAGATTTCATATATAATATATAATTTTGCTTATATAACATAAGCTTATGCTTTATTTTGCTTATGTTATACAAGCAAAATTTATATAATAGGTTTCATATATAATGGATTTCACATATGTATACATATACTGGATTTCATATATGTAATACAAAATTCATATACATAATATGAAATATATGTTATGTAGGAAGTCCAGTATTTATATACATATACAGTTGAATCTTGAACAACATGGGGGTTAGGGGTGATGACCCCCCACACAGTTGAAAATCCACGTATAACTTTTGACTCCCCCAAACACTTAACCACAAACATCCCACTATTAACCAGAAGCCTTAGAGTTGGTTGACGCATATTTTGCATGTTATATGTATTATTTATAACATGCAAAATATGTATAGAGGGCCCTTTGCCTCCTCCCATTTTCCTGGGACTGCCCTGGCACTGCCCTGCTTGATGCTACCCTCTATTTTGAGAGTTACTCTGATCACCAACACATGCCTGGTTGCAAAGATCTGCCCTGCCCCGAGGCCCTTTCCTCTGTGGGATCCCCCTTCTCGTAGGGCCCCACGGTGGTCAAGGGATCCCGGCACAGCTGCCAGGAAAGAGCTCCAGCTCCCCAAGTCAGTTTCACCCCAGAGCGGGGCAGGCACCTGAGACAGCTTAAGAACACGACTATGCCCAGGTCCTTGCTCTTCAGTTTCCCTCTGGAGAAAGCAAGTTCCTGGCATGGAGGAGGGCTTATCCTATGCTTGCTCTTGGCTAGACATGCTTTCTCAGCTGCACTGGGTCCATAGCCTCCTGCCCTCTGCCCTGTTCTTGTCTCTCCTCCTCGGTGCTGTCTCCCCCAGGAGCTTTGTTGTCAGAGTCCCTTACGGAGCAGGAGCAGAGAAAGTCCAGGGAACATGGCTCTTTCCGTTGTGCTAGCAACACCTCCACGGAACTGCCACTTGGTGAACACAAGTTGCTTGTATGTGTCCTTGTTACTGTGGCGACTATCAGCCTTAGGGGCAGAATGGAAAGTGGGAGGCTGATAACCCATCGCAGCAACATTCGCCGGCACCACCCCGATGCTCCACGACTGAGTGGCTAATCAGTGAAGCACACTTGTTTGAGGACTAACTGGCGTTTAACTTCCTTTTGACAGATGAGAACAGCCAGCCATAATGGAACCCAAACCTCAGAAGAGTCCAGGTACCCAGGGGGTATTCTCTCTGAAGTAAAAAACTTTGTTAAAAACGACGAACAATTCTGGTCAAGCTAACCAGGATACAGAAGACAGTTTTAGTGAGACTAAGGCAGAAAATCATTCTGGAACAATGATTCTTGGTATGGAGAGTGTGGTAGGGGCTGTTGGATTCGGTTAATTATTCTGTAAGAGCTCACCTATCCGGAAATTTGACATTTTCTGATTTTCATTAACCAAATGTTCCATCTGTTGCTTGGAGATGGTACTAAAACAGATAATAGCCCAGAAAAGACTGAAGAGTATTTCGTAATTTGGTAGGAAATTCTCACTGAGAAATCGCCTAAATTGTTATTAGAGAGGTAGCTCGAGGTATATTATTCAAAGGTCCTTGTTCTCGTTGACATAGTTCATTACAGGTGGGTAGTTAGGAAAGCAGAGGGTAGGATGAAATAATTTAGAAAGCAAATTATCCAATTCAATTTAAAAATAGTTTTGAATATCTATTCAAAGCACCTATTATTAGTAAAGTCACGGTGCTTCATATTGCAGAGAATATACAGATTGAGTTATAGAGTCATTGCTCTCCGTGAGTTTACAAATTTTGTTGGGAAGTTAAGTGAAACACATGTGAGTAACTGTATTGAGAAGCTAAGATAAGCACAAATAATCAGGGTTTGATAGGAATCAGAAGTGCAAAATGTTTTGGGAACCTAGGGAAGAGCATACAAGTAGTTGTGGGAATCCAGAGAGATTTTATGAGAAGGCATCTAAGCTGGACCCTAAAAGATGTGTAGGGTTTTAAAAGAGATTGGAAAAGAGCACATCTCAGCAGAGAGGGATGGCATGAACAAAAGCAATGCATGGGTTAGAGGCAGGGTGTGTCAGAGCACAATGCGTGTAGAAAGTAGGGGAGAGTAGAGGATGAAGCCGTGGCACTCTGCTGCGCCCCGTCTTCACCTCACATGACCCGGAATCCTTGAAAAGGCTTTTGAGCAAGAGAAAGGGGTCATTAGATTTGCATTTTAGGCTGGTCATATTTTTTTGAAATAGCTTTGTGCGGTGCACATGACATACAATTAACTGCACAAATTTAAAATGTACAGTCTGATAATTGGTTTAAGACAATTTATGCTTAATGTGATTATTGATTTGATCAGGTTTGAGTCTATCATAGTGTTATTTTCTATTTATCTCATTTTGGTATGTGGATATGCCTGGGAAACCATCACCACAATCAAGATAATGAACGTATGCATCACTCCCCAAAGTTTTCTGTTACTGATTTCCAATTTGATTCCATTACGTTCTGAAAATATACTTTGTAAACCTTGGATCCTTTCAGATGTATTGAGACTGGTTTTATGGCCCAGAATATGACCTGTTGGGTACATGTTGCATGTGCCCTTGAGAAGCGTGTTCATTCTGCTCTTGTTGAGTGTTCTATAAATGTCAATCAGATCGAGTTTGTTGATAGTGTTGTCCAAGTCCACTGTACCTTTATGATTTTCTGCCTATTTTTTCTGTCAGTTATGGAGAGAGGGGTATTGAAATCCCTGACTATAATTATGGATTTGTCTATTTCTCTGTGATGTTCTATCAGCTTTTGCTTCATGTATGTTGAAGCTCTGTTATTAGGTACATAAATGTGTAGGATTGTTATGTCCTCTTGATTAATTGACCCCTTTATCATTATAAAAAGATCTTTATCCCTGGTAATATTTTTTTGCTTTAAATTTAATTATTTTTTGCTTTAATATAGCCAGCCCAGCTTTCTTTGGACTGTTGTTGGCATAGTATGTCCTTTTTCTGACCTTTTATTTATAACCTATTTGTGCCTTTGTATTTGAAATACGTTTCTTGTAAGTATCATACAGTTGGGTCTTGCTTTTTTATCTAATCTGACATCTCTGTCTTTTAATTGGTTTAAGACAATTTATGCTTAATGTGATTATTGATATGATCAGGTTTGAGTCTATCATAGTGTTATTTTCTATTTATCTCATTTTTTTCTTTGTTCACCTTTTTCCTCGTTTTCATCCTTTTTTGAATTAATTGAGTACTTCTATGATACTATTTATCTCCTTTCTTGGCTTATTAATTATAACTATTTGTTCTGTTATTTTAGTGGTTCCCTTAGGGCTAATAGTGTATATCTTTAACATATCAAGTCTATCTTATTACAAGTGATATTATACCAATTCACATATTATAGAAGAATTTTACAAAAGTATACTTCTATTTTCCCTTCCTGGCCTTCATGCATTTTACTTATTGAAATTGTATTTTTCTTACACATATGCTATAATCTGCACAACATATTGTTAGTATTTTTGTTTGAACAATCAATTGAAGTTTTAAATGTTTTAAATAGTAAGAAAACAACTCAAATAAATATTTACCCTTGCAGTTACCATTCAGTGTTCTTCCTTCACTTATATAAATTCAGATTTCCAGGGGCACCTGGGTGGCTCAATCAGTTAAGCATCTGCCTTCAGCTTGGGTCATGATCCTGGGGTCCTGGGATTGAGCCCCACATTGGGCTCCCTGCTCAGTAGGGAGTCAGCTTCTCCCTCTCCCCAGCCCCTGCTCATGCTTTTTCTCTCTCTCTCTCTCTCTCAAATAAATAAATAAAATCATAAAATAAAATAAAAAACAATCATTACCATAAAAAATATTCGGATTTCATTTTTTTTTTTCCAGCCAGAGGACTTCCTTTAATGTTTCTTGTAATGCAGGCCTCCTGTTGATGAATGCCTTTAGCTTTTGTATGTCTGAAAAATGTCTTGAAATTGCCTTTATTTTAAAGATATTTTTGCCGCATTTAGAAATCTAGAATGACTGTTTTTCTTTCGGTACTTTTAAATATGTTGTTCCACTGGTTTTTTGCTTGCATTGTTTCTGATGAGAAATCTAATGTCTTACGTATGTTTTTTTTTTCCCTTCTGCATACATATTCCAAACACCACCCCCCCACACACACTGGCTGATTTTAAGGTTTTTTCCTTTATCACTGGTTTTGAGCAATTTGATTACGATGTGTTTTAGTGTAGTTTTCTTCATGTACCTTGTGTTTGGGGTTTCCTGATCTACTTGGATCTGTGGGTTTATTAATTTTCTTTAAATTTATAAACTTTTCAGCTTAATTTCTTCAGATGTTTTTCTGTCTACCTTCCCCACTTAGGGATTTCATTACTTGTCTAGTAGGCCACTTGAAATTATCCCGTGGTGCACTGGTGCTCTTTTAATGTTTTTTGATTCTCTTTTCACTCCGCATTTATGTTGATAGTTCCTATTACTTGTCTTCCCGTGCACTAAACCTGCAATTAATGCTATTTACCCTGCGTTTTTGTCTGTTTGTTGCTGAGACATTGTAGTTTTCACCTTTAGACATTCACTTTGGATCTTTTTTATATCATCCATATCACTACCTAATTTCTTCAGTCTATAAAATACAGTTATAGTGACTGTTCCTATGGCTTTCTCTGCTCATTCGAACATCTGTGTCAGTTCTAGGCCCATTTCAATAAATTATCTTCCTAATTATGGGTCATGTTTTTCCTGCCTCTTTGCATGTTTGGTAGTTTTTGATTGGTTACCGGACATTGAAAATTTGACCTTGTTGGGTGCTGCATATTTTTGTATTTCTACAAATCTTGAGCTTTGTTCTGGGATGCAATTAAGTTTTTTGGAAACAATTTGATCCTTTTAAGGCTTTCTTCATGATGTGTTAGGTGGATCTGGAGCAGGCCCTGGCCCAGAGATAATTATCCCTCACTACTGAGGCAAGACCTCTCTGAGTACCCTACCCAGTGTCTTGCCAGTCTTACCAGTCTGGCTGGAAGGAACAGGTAATTCTTCTGGTTCTGTATGAGTACCAGACATTGTTCCCTCTAATCTTTTCTAATGGTACTTTCTCTGGCCTTGGGTAGTTTCCTCACACTGATATATTGATTAAGACTCTTGAATACTTAAGAAGAACCTTATGCATGTTTCTGTGATTCTTTCTGTGTGCAGTTCTTTCTTCTCTAGCACTCTATCCTATGAACTCTAGTGCCTTGATCTCCCTAAACTCTTAGCTCTGTCTCCTCAACTCGGGAACCCACCTGGTTCCACCTCAGTTCCCCTTTCCAGTGCTATAGCCTGGAATCTCTCTCAAGGGAATTGTAGGGCCCACCTTGATTGTTTCCTGTCTCTTAGGGATCAGTGACTTTAGTTCCCCATGCTCAGCGTCTTGAAAACCACTATTTTATATATTCTGTCTGGTAAGCCCAGTCCCTGTTATTCTGTCTTTGCCCAAAATGCTAGATCAGTCAGAGTTGGTGTTTAGTCTCAGGGGTATGTCAAGGATGGATTTGAAGATGTCAAGACTGGAATTAGGGGGTCAAACTGGACAGCTACTGAAACAATACAGTGAAAAACATATAAAGGTCTCAAATTCACATGATTTGAAACATACTGAAACGTTTGAAGGTCTTGAAGGCAGTGCAGGTAAGAACAGAGAAATAGGGATGGATCCCAGAAGTATTCGGGAAGTGAAAATAGGCATGATTTAGTCATTGACTGGCCATGAGGCTGGTGGAAGGGTGAGAGTTAAGGTGCTTCCTCAGCATCAGTTCTGGAGAAAACAGTGCCATTGCCACGGTCAACAAACACCGTCAGTTTTTGTGCCTTGGATCTGGTAGTCAGTGTGAATATTGGGGACACCCTGGGAAGGCCCAAACTGGGCAACGTCTTCACAGATATTTACTTTACTTTAAGATTATGCTAACTGTAGGGGCACCTGAGTGGCTCAGTCAGTTGAGCATCTGATGCTTGATTTCAGTTCTGGTCATGATCTCAGGGTCATGAGATCGAGTCCCATGCCTGGCTCCATGCTGGGTGTGGACCCTACTTGAGATTCTCTCTCCCCCTCCCTCTGCCCCTCCCCTCTTAAAAAAAAAGATTCTGCTAATTGTATACAATGTTATCAGAGACTTCTAAGACCAAATTTTCGTAAAATATCTATGTCTGTTGAACCCTCTGAATTTAATACCACCAAAGAGCACCTATGTTATAGGCAGATGAGAGACTGGTTTATTCTGCAAATGATAAAGGCTAAAATTTCCTCTATTATTAATAATAGCTACTCTTCAGTGAGCCTTACTGTGTGCCGGGCCCAGTCCTGAGAGGTTTCCGTGCATTAACTCCTTCAGTCCTCACCACAAATCTGTAAGATCAGTGCCATTGTCTCCATTTTACGATGAGGAAACAGGGAGACTTAGTGACCCAAGGTGCACTATAAATACTTGTTCAGTAAATAAATCTGTGACTTTTGTCCAAGGCCATGCAATGGTTTTAAAGAGGAGCTAATGGCAATATTGTTTCCTTCTATTTTTCTTTTCCTTTTCGTGTGTGTGTGTGTGTGTGTGTGTGTGTGTGTGTGTGTGTGTGTGTGTGAAGGGATGAGTGGTGGGGAGCAGGCTGATTTGCTGCAGAGGGAGGAGAAGGAGGCAAGCTGATACTAGACTCTAGTAAGAAGCTAAAAAAGCGCACCTGGCTGGCTTGGTTGGAAGAGCATGTGACTCTTGATCCCAGGGTCACGAGTTTAAGTTGGATGTAGAGATTACTTAAATAAATAAACTTAAAGAAATGTTAAAAAGGGGGCGCCTGGGTGGCTCAGTTGGCTAAGCATCTGCCTGCAGCTCAGTCATGATCACAGGGTCCTGGGATCGAGTCCCACATCCGGCTCCTTGCTCAACAGGGAGCCTGCTTCTCCCTCTGCCCCTCCCCCCTCTCATGCTCCCACTCCCTCTCACTCTCTCTCTCTCAAATGAATACCTAAAATCTTAAAAAAAAAACTATTCTAAAACAATGTTTTAAAAAAAGAATCACTAAAAAACTAATGGTGTATGTATGGTGATTAACGTAACAATAAAAAATTAAAAAAAAAAAGAATCACTAGATAGACTGCAGCATAATGTCCCCATCAGCTGTGCTACCTAAGCCTGATTCTGGGTTTCCACTTAATAAAAAAGCTCTAACTCTTTAGTAAAGGCTGTCTTTTATAAAACCATGGACAAACTAGAACTAACAGACTGGATGGGAAAGCAAAACGAAGCCCTTTTTTTTTTTAAATAAATTTTATTTTAACAACATTGCATTTTTCTAGATAATGAAAGTAGTGCAGATTTCTTGAAGACATTTTTGAAAATACAGAAAAAAAGCCCCTATAAATTTCCATACTTACTGAGAAGCAGTTCACATTTTGGAAAACTTGTGATTTAACCACTTTGCCACCTCGTTTTCAATAGCAGGTGGTTTTGCTTTTGTTTGTTAAGCCAAGGCAAGGCAGAATTATCCTGCTCCGCTGGCTGGTTCTTCAGTGAGAGTAGAGACAAACCCTTGCTCACAGCTGGCGAGCCAGCAACATGCCCCTCGATGCTAGAGCTAGACATTAAGGAGCTTCTACATGTCACCTGAAGGAAGGTCCTGACTGTGGACGAAATAAGAACACTCTTGGTCCTTCGGCTTCTTTGTTTTCCTGGCCTATTATAGATGTTCTTTCCCATCACTGAATAAGTTGAAGACCTTTCCAGAAGTAAACAGTGTTTTCCAATTGAAGCAGTTCTTTTCCAAACTTTACAGGGAACAAACTGAGTCTGTTCACTTTCTTTTATTAGGCAAACAATTTACATTTTATTATGAAAATGAAGTCTGCAAACAAGATTACTTTATTAAATCACCACCTCCTCAGCTTTTCTTCTCTGCTGTAAGTATTCACCATGATTTAACAGGCCTCCCACCAGGCTTATGAACATTTTTAAAATCCTTTCTCTTCCTCCGAGATTTAACTAAGATGAAAAATGTTTTCATTTTTCAGTCCTCTTGGAAAAAGCGGTTTTTCATTCTTTCAAAGAGTGGGGATAGGAGCCTGCGTCTTTCCTATTACAAAGACCAACATCGTCGAGGGTCCATTGAAATTGACCGGTGTGTATCCAATTGAGAAAACGTTTATAGCAGCAAATATTAACAAGGTGCATACAAATAAAAATTTAAATCATTGACTGAAAGAACCAAAGACTTCACACTCAGCAATATCTGTTGCTGAAAAGAAGCTAAAATGAGGAACATTTTTGAGTAAAAACATAGCTGAATACGTATTTTGTATTGTATACTATAGTTCATAAATTATTAATTAATAAGCATCTAGTTACAAAAGATTTTGATTCACTTCACTTATGGATGAGGGCAGATAAAATCATCATTTCATAAAGCCAAGATGGATTTTTTTTTAAGATTTTATTTATTTATTTGACAGAGAGAGATAGCAAGACCAGGAACACAAGCAGGCGGAGTGGGAGAGGGAGAAGCAGGCTTCCCGCCAAACAGGGAATCAGATGCAGGGCTCGATCCCAGGACCCCGGGATCATGACCTGAGGTGAAGGCAGACGCTTAACGACTGAGCCACACAGGCGCCCCAAAGCCAAGATGGATTTTTAAAAAGTATTTAGATTGGCTTTTTTTGTCTTCTCTTTAAGAAATTACATACAAAAAAGAAAATTAGAAAACATGATACTTTGTAGAACAAAGACTCCAACTGAAAAAAGAATTTTTGAATTAAGTTTGAGGCTGAACAAAGTATTTTCAATCAGTGTTGAACCGGATCTAAACTTATTTTCTAAAATTATCGGACAGTTTCCAAAATATTGATCAAGCAGATCTAAATTTTATTCAGTTTGAATCCTAATATGAAACACTAGTCTTCGTGTTTGAATCTGTTTAATACTTCGTGTCTATATCTGACAGAAATTCCAGTGTAGAAGTTGGCATAAGTGGCCGTGAAAAAATGCAGTCTGTACATAAGATGTTTAAATGCCGCCCTGATGAGGTGATGTCCATCCGAACCACTAACAGAGAATACTTCCTCATTGCTCAGGACAGGTAAGTCGCAAATTAGCACAGAATGTTTCCCATGTGCACAATAAAAAATAGACACACAGACAAATAAAACATTTTAAACCAATAAACAACATACTTTGAACAGAAGCCCATGGCCACACCCTTCAAGACCATCTTGATAGTCTTCCTTATTAGTGAAAGTATCTTGAAAAATCCCAGTATTTGTTTCCTAGGGTGGCCATATCAAAGTACCCCAAGCTGGGTGTCTTAGAACAACAGAGATGTATTATCTCACTGTTCTGGAGGCTAGGTATCTGAAATCAGGGTATCCCAGGGCCATGCTCCCTCTGAAGTCCTAGGGAAGGTCTGTTCCAGGTCTCTCTCTTTAGCTTCTGGTAGTTCCTGGGCTTGTGGCGGCGGAACTGTAAGGTTCACACAGCATTCTCCCTGGGTACGTGTCTCTACATCCAAACTTTTTGTAAGGACACTTGTTTTATTGGATTAGGAGGCCAGTATGACGTCATCTGAACTAAGTACATCTACAAAAACCCAGCCCGATTTCTAAGTAAGGTTCCATCCTGGGTACTGGGGGTTGGGCCTTCAACATCCAAATTTTGAGGGGACACAATTCAACCCATAACCCTATCACCATCACCCCAGATGCATTTCATGTAAAAGGACCCAATACACAGGGATGCCTGGGTGGCTCAGTCAGTTCAGCATCTGACTCTTAATTTCGGTCAGGTCGTGATCTCATGGGTTGTGGGAATGAGCTCCCTGCTCAGTGGGGAGTCTGCTTGTCTCCCTCTCCCTCTGCCTCCCCCCCAGCTCTCTCCCTCTCTTAAATAAATAAATAAATCTTAAAAAAATAATCAATTCACAAACATCTGTACAAGCTACCTATGTTAGGGAGGGGCGGTGCTCATCCCTAAGGGGGGTGTTCAGTATTTAAGAGGGGCTCCTGGTGCTAGCAAAGTGCCTAATGGATCCTTTATAGATGATTATCTGCTTGGCAGAGAGGCCAAGGTCAGGGGAGGGAGCTGTGAGAGGAGGTAGGGAATGCTAACGCCAGAGTATGAAGAACCTTGATCTGTTGCAGAGGAAGCCCAAGGCAAAAAGCTTTCTTTTTACATTGTCATGAAAAGTCAATAGAAAAGAAGATGTGATTTATATAAATTCATTCAAACCCATTCTTCATAAACACATGCCTTCCCCCAAGGGGTGGCATACCTGGATAGCTCCACAAAAGTGGTGCTGACAGGTTAAGGGGCTCGCTTAAGAACACAAAAGAAATCAGTGTCAAAGCCAAGAGCTCCAAACCCTATGATTATTACTGTTATTTTCCACTGTTCTTCCCATTTCCCTGAGCTCTCCTCACGGAGGTGGCGTGAATATTAATTCTAGTGTGCAAGTGTGGAGGTGGTGAGGAGCCAGTGGGTCATTTAAGCAACTTCGGGAAAAAAAAAATCTTAATTTCCCTGGTACCTGCTCCCACTGCCTGTTCCAACCTTAATAAAAGAACCCTTCCCTGGTTCAAAGGGAGTACAGGTGCTATTGTAGCCATGCACCAGCTGCCAGTTTATTCCTATCAACAGGGAGAAGATTAAAGACTGGGTCAGCTTCGTGTCATCATTCTGCCACCATGGAGAGCCAGCACGCCACAATCCAGAGGTGACTCTACATCACTAATAAAATAACAGGGCACGCAAGCACACCCTCTTTAACAAGGAAACAATGGTAGCTTTTTCTGTTCCCCCTTAGCAACTGGCACTAATCCAAGGAATAAATACATGAGAGAATGTACATCCTTGTTATTTCTATGATTAACAATAGGAAAAAAATACTTTTGTGTTTTGCAAGACACCCAAAATACAGACACTTCAAATGTTCATTACTGGGGTCAGAGGACTGTGGCATTTTTTCAAGAGTAGCCAAAACTAGAGTATTCTCCATCATTGTTACGCAAGGTGCATAAAACGGCTACCTTTTGAATGATGACGTCTAGGGTGGTTTCTATAAAAATGCTTCTCCTATCTCTTGCATTTTCAATGTAATACCTCTTTAATGTAAAGGCTAGTAGCTTTAAGTTTTTCATTTACTTCCCAAGAACCTTCGCTAATTTACAGAAGTCCTTTCTTAGAGCAGACCTCTTTAAATGAAACTCAGTCTCCAGGTATTGTTTTGACATGTTTTCTAAGTTGTTCGATGCTGACAAAGAAAGCAGAGGCCAAGGAAGAGGGAAAGCGAGGCATGTCTATGAGTAGATTCAAATGATTAGAGCCAAGGGGCAGGGTGCAGAGGGGTACAGCCTTGAAAAGATGGGTGGAGGGAAACACAGGACCTCTGAAGGCCAGGCGGAGAGTCCTCAAGGGTTTGGAAACAGGTGAGAGGCACAGTTACATCGATTACATGGTGTCTTAGTGAGAGAAGGCTGGCTGGGGGTACAAATGTTTGTGGTAAAAGACTGGAGGCAGGAAGCCCAGCCGGGAGGCTGTTTATTTCTAGGTAAGAGATCAATCGTGCCCTGATTGCAATATTCCTTTTCCATAAGCAGGAGAAATTCAAACTGTGTGGTAAAAGGCCCTCCTCCGAACCCAGCCCTCTCCTTGGTCTTTCCAGCACATCAGAGGCTATCGGCCCCACCACACCAAGAAACAGTCTTCCAGACATGGTAATCAGACTTACATCTCTCTCTCAGGACACCTTACCTGGGGGTTAGCTGATGTTTCAAAAGTCTTACCAATGTATCTGACACCTTCCTCTAGGCCTAACCCACCATAAGAATGATTCTTAGCCCTAGTGTTGATCTTAGGTTTAGTCTGTTTCTTATACCACAATGAGCCTTACTGCTTGCCCTGCCTACCTTGAAAGGTGTTCATTCATTCTGGGTGCTCCTCACCCTGCATCCGGGTATGTGGGGTGGAGACCCCTCCAGCTAACTAAAAGCCTGGCTGCCAACCTGTCCTCTCTTTCACACAGAGGGCACAGAGTACCTCTGTAAAAAGATTCCTGAAACACCACTTGGTTTTCTGCCATACCATCTATACAGATTCTGAGGTAAAATCAAGGTTCTTATTAATAAATTTCCTTCATTTACCCAGATCAGTCTTGCTTCCCTGTGTGTGTGTGTGTGTGTGTGTGATTCCATCTTTCTTTCTAATGAAATCCATTTGAGGAAAAAAATACACCTGGCCCTTGAAAGTGATTTGTGATTATACTCTCTGGCTGTCTCAGATTTGCGGTCTCCCCAAGTTTGGATAAGTGGGCTCAGTAGTTGTTTGTTTGCTTTTTCTTCTGCCATGGATACCATTTTGTCCTTTAGAGAAGTAACCATTGACTTTCCCTCCTCCCTGTGTACCAAGCACATCTTAATATGGCATAACCTCCTGTTTTATCTAGTTGGGAGCTCTCCAACTATTTTAAAAGCTTTTCTATAGCAGATCAAAATCACAAAGGCCAAACACCTCATTTGGTATTTGTAGGAAATGGGTTGCAAAATATAACTCTTTTCAGTAAATACCTCTTGTTTTTCACTCACGATACACCTTCTCCCTAAAGATAACATTGCTGGTTGTCTTGCCTTTTCACACGCTGTATTCCAATTCAGTTAAGAGTACCACCTGCCTTGTTGGGGTTTGTTGTCGTCAAAATTAAGTGGAAAGCCTTCTTCAGCCCCAGCTCAGCATGGTCTGGCTTCATGATCTTGGCGCTAGGGAAATGGACACAGTTGAAAGGATTATGCTTTTTAAAATCACTTTCCTTCAAGGACTTCTTAGAACACATTCAAGATCTTTTCAAAACCCCCTGCTCTCAGGCATTGTTCTTAGAAGAATTAAGTTGTGCTTATAGCAATTTTCCTGCCATGCAAAGCAGCTACTTTAGTAGAGTATCTTGTATCTACCGGGGAGGGAAGGCAGCAATTGGTTGAACCTACATTACCTTGAAGACTGTAATTCATACTATCACATGATCAACATTAGCAAATTGCATTGCTATGGAAACAATAGAAGTATGTGAGCAGAACACAAAAGAAGAACATTGAGCAGGAAGAGGAAAGGTGTGGTGCCTTGACCGTGGGCTAATTACCTTCTCAGATGGCGCTGGGTGAAAACTAGTAGGTGGGGATGGGGTCCTCTGTGGCAGAGCTTAGTGCCTCAGAATACTACCCCCCACCCCCGCCAGAGTGAACCACTTGTTCTGAGTTACAGATCCCAATGGTAGAGAAAAGCCTGAAAGATGGGCTTATATTTTTTTTATATCATCAAGGTGACCCAGACACAACAGGCAAATCCAACTGGTGTGGGCTTCTTCATGTAACCTTGGAAGATCCTCCGATCTTCCGAGCAACCCAATTAATCTATTATGGTTTCCAAGCAACCCAATTAATCTATTATGGCTTCCAGCAACCCAATTAATCTATTATGGCTTTTCCAGAGAGCATATGGTTTAATTCTGTCCCCTGCAAAAAGAAGAAAGAGAAAGAAAGAAAGAAAGAAAGGAAGGAAGGAAGGAAGGAAGGAAGGAAGGAAGGAAGGAAGGAAGGAAGGAAGGAAGGAAAGAAAGATAAAGAATTAATTCTGTCTTCATCTCTTTATTCAGCATTTAATGGAAAAAAATTCTCCAGGACTCAGACAAGCCCATTTACTACGTTATTTCTCGTCAGAGACTACTGAAGATACAGAAGAGAGTCATTATATTAGTCCTCAAAGTATTCTTTTAGAGGTAAGCCCTTCCATCCATTAATCCTTCATTCCTTGTACAAATATTTGCTGGTCCCCAGCTGCATGCTCTTCCTGAAGTACTAGGCTGGGTTTGGTGGAACAGAGCAATGAATCAGGCTCAGGTGATGTGCTCACAGAGTAGACACTTGAATAGGAGGTGCCACAATACCAGACAGAAAGGGTTCCATGCTGAGGAGAGATGCTTACAAAATGCATGGAGTGCATGAGGGAAGGAAGGCAGGGGAGGTAATTCCAAGAGAGAAGACCAACTAAAACGAAACTAGTAAGGCTGATAGAACAAAGCTAAAAGGCCATTGAAAAAAAGACTCCCTCCCCAAATTAAGTACAAAACTGTGCAGGAGAAGTTCAAAGAAGGAGGAGATTGGGCGAAGGCTGAGGTGGTCAGAGGGGGCTGTGGGACCTCGCAAAGCCTGAACACAGCTTCGTCAAGCCAGAGGGCAAGGGGTACTCCAGGTGAAGCAAGGGCCATGAAAGCTGGCTCTGGAAGACCACCATTCATAGGGGAGCAGCAGAAAGACTGGCTTGACTGGAATGAATTTTTCCAATTATGGGTTCATGATTAATCTGTTAGGCAGGCAGCTAAAAGCCCTCAGGGTTTTTGAGCAACCATTCCCCCAAATGACTTAGTTGTGAGGGGCTAGTGGAGAGCCTCCTGGGGGGCAATATTTTCTAGGACCTTTGCAGCCCTTTGCAGCCACTTGGTTAGCCTGTGAGCAGAGTAGCCTGAGGACAGCTCTGTGTTGTGTGGGAGTCTGACCCAGCCAGGTGACATGATTCTAAAGTAGCACCAGTTGGGAAAAAGTTCATATCATTAAGTGCTTAGTGATGAAACAGAAAAATAAATAGCAATTTAGTCCAATAAAACACTGTATTGGGAGCATGGGGGAATCCAGGAGGTGAAAACAGACTTTGAGTCAGAGAAGCTTTACTGGTTCAGTCTCCTAGAATGAGCACCACTATTCATTCGGTGGTGGATGTACTTACTATTTCAGGACCCAGAACCATCATGGAAGGGGTAAAGAGGCACCTGGCTATTGGTAGACTTGCATTCTTATGTCTATTCCTCTTGTCTATAGTTGGATACTTTTGTTGCTTCCAGTGATTCTGGTGAATCTGCTGAAGCTGATAGTCCAGACCAGTTCTCCAAGAGAACTGAGAATCACTACATGTCAATGAAATCCTGGTATGTAAAATTGCCATGTTCTTTTTTTTTTTTTTAAGATTTTATTTGTTTATTTGTCAGAGAGAGAGACAGAGCACAAGCAGGAGAGCGGCAGGCAGAGGGAGAAGCAGGCTCCCACTGAGCAGGAAGCCCGATGCGGGACTCGATCCCAGGATCCTGGGATCATGACCTGAGCCGAAGGCAGCCGCTTAACCAACTGAGCCACCCAGGCGTCCCAAATTGCCATGTTCTTAAAACTGATTTTTAACTAATGCACTTTTATAGAACAGTTACTGTTGATATATTAATTCAAAATTATTACCATAGACCAAGTTCACCATATTATTCCAATAATCTCAAAACAAGAAGAAGTGAGAATGATTTCTCTAACACTTGAAAACCATTTAGTGACTGCCTCAGACCATATTCTGTCTCCTGGGGAACTGATTTTCTATTCTGAATTTATGTCTCACACTCTCCCTTCTGTGTTCCAAGTCCTCCCAATGTAAAGAGTTATTTTGACGCCATTTCCACCTTCAGAAGGAAAGTTTGTCAAATTTGATTCTAAGTGTGATTCTGAGGGTTAGGCATACTTGAAGACCTTGTTAGTATTCACATGGCTCCTAGCTACTGAAATCTGATTCATACACCATAGAAAGTTATACATAGATTTGCTGAAAAAGGGTATTATGTTAATTTCTTATACCATAGTTTTTTCAGAGAGACATCCCACGAGACTGCTGATAGCGAAAAGGAATCCCAGGCCCTTCCAGAGAGCCAGAATAGCGGGCTTCACTTGCAAGAACAAGATTCACAAAGTGACTCTTGTCTTCCACCTGCCAATATGGAAGCACAGACCATGAATGACAAAAAGCGGTCGGCCTCACTTACTGTTGTGCAATTATCTATACTAATCAAGTAAAGTTCTAATTTCTAAACCTCTGTGGGCTCTTAGAGCAAGGCAGCCTTCCTTTTTTACTTAGAATTCAAATTTTAAAGTAGTTCCTAAAAATCTCCAAGTTAGCCAACATTGCGACCAGCTTCCCCTTCTCACTGATGTGGTAGCCAAGGACAGTGAGTAACAGAGCTGGAAGCAAAGTGGTCCCCTGGGCTCTGGGTAGCATTTTCAATTATTTCTAAAAATTCTCCCTTGGCTAGTGTTTCAGGCCCTAGAACTTTGGATCACGCTGAACTAGGTAGTGTGTCCCCCCATGTCTACAGTTAAAATTATGGTCACACAAGTTGTATGATGTTTGGTTATAGAATAGGAGGGGGACGTTTAGGTTTTAAGTGATGACAAAATATTTGATGAGATTGTTCTCCATTTTCACTCTTTCCATTGTCATCTTCTATGGGATCATTTCCAGTGGAGAAATGAGCAGATGGATGTGATATATAATCAACTTAGTCCATTTTGTACTCACTGTCTGCCATCCACTACCACATTCCAAGAGGGGTGGGGAGGGCATCAGTGAGTAACTTAAATTCATATTCTCCAAATTTGGGGGACAATCTTTAACTGGAAAATACCATCTTAGATGTAGGAGGCCAAAGTCTACTCAGGAAGTCCAGTTCAGAGCCAGAAACAGTGGCCTGATGTGACTTTTACAAACATTTTATCTCATAGTAACATCCCTGATGAAGGCCAAGTGGAGAAACTAGATGTGTTCCTTTCTCCTTCCGACATCATCAATTATCTTACTCTCATAGAAGCCGCAGGACGGATATGGTAGGTTGAAGATCTGAGGGTTCTTGATTATAAGTGGGGTTGGAGGATAGGGAGACAACAATTTTATCTTGAAACTCTGTATGTGGCAAAACAAAGGGTTTGGACAGTGGTGTTGCTTATATCACCACAGGTCTTTGGTTGCAGCAGAAATAAGGGTGTAGCTGTTGGAGCATCAGCTGGGAGGTGGGTTGCGGATAGGAGGACCCAAAAGTCCAATAAGCAGCAAGTCTCCGATACTTTGAAGGGAAGGAAAAGCAGGAAGGAATAGGTATGGTCCAAGGAAATCATCCCCAATCACTGAGCAATGACTACTGTATAAATGAATGAAGTTCGTGAAGTCACCAAGAATCTAAGGTCTAAAAGAAAAGGTGGACCAAGGTCAAAGACTTCCAGACACCTCTTGTCAGGGACGGACACAAGAGAGAGAATTTTCTTAAAGTCAGCACTGTTTATTTGGCTCTGTATCCCTTTAAGAACTTTGCAATTTATTTTGGTGGAAGATTACATTTTTACAAGGGAAGGAAGTCCTTTAAGGTAAAGGGATGACAACTTCTGTAAGAGGACAGGAAACACAATCTTCCACTTTTCCAAATTTCCTACAATCTCAGAGATTCAATAAATACTTGACTGAAACTGTAGACTTCTCTGTGCCTGAGTTTGCTCATTCCTCAATTTATTTATTGTTCCTTAGATAGTCATTGTATAATCATCATGTGCTCCCTTTCAATAAATAATTATTAAACATCTTCTGTTTACTTGGAGTTGTGTGGCTATAATTTTTTCTTGGGGGGGGAAGGTAGTGCTATACTTCTGGGGTCTCATAGCCTGGTGAAAAAGACAGCCACCTAAACAAGCAAATGTAAAATGCATGTGATTTAAATATACCATAAATGGGTGTTCCCACTGTGCAATAGAAGCCCAGGGGCAGGGAGGGTCATTAAAGGAAGAGGAATGAAGGAGGACCGTGTAGAGACGGTATGATCAGAATTGGTTTTGGAAGAAGGGCTGGGGTCCAACAGTAGTGACAGACGAGAGAATATTCCAACAGAAAATGGAGTTTGTCTGCTTCAGATGCGGTGCAACATAGGTGAAGAAGTTGGTGACAGTAATGAGGGAAGGCCAATGTGTCCTGCGAGCACAGTCTCACACTTGTGTTGAATGTTATGTCCCCTTGCAGTGTGGCTCAGTGGCAAGGCCCCCTGCGCCTGGGATGCTTATTCTTTCACGGAGATCATCTTTTGGCCGTGAATGACCTGAAGCCCCACGGCCTGGACGAGGCCTCCTTGTTTCTCAGCCGGTCTGTCCAGAAGGAGGTGAGTCTTGCTGACCGGCCCTAGACAGGAATAAGATCAAGGTCTCCAGAGGAATCTGAACAGTACATGCAAATACATGCAAATAACAGAATGTTGTTTTAGAAGCTTTTCAAAATTGCTTCATATAAAATAGGTATTTGGAGAAGCCCCCGGGGTAGGAGACCAAACATCAGGGTCCAGGACCTCAGACAGAGCATGAGGTGGTGGAAGGAGCTTGCAAGGGAATCACGTTGGCTCAGGGTGTGTGTTGCATTTCCTTTAGACAATCTGTGCCTCAGCTTTCCTTTCTGCAAAATTGGGGGTAACGCTAATACTTGTTGGAGAATTAACTGTGATAATATGTGTCACATTCTTACAAATGGGACCGGCCCCCACTAGGCACTCCTTAGCGTTTACTGCTTTTGCTTCTCCCACTATTGGCTGGGGAACATTGGCCAGGGTCAGCTTTTTTACTCTTTGGACTCCTCATCTCAGAAATTGGCCTCGTCATACCTTCCTCACGGAGTTATTGGAAGAATTAAACAAAACATGTGAGTGTGTATTAACGATGTATGTTTTCAAAGGGCTCTCCACGGCTCTGCCTGTGGGTACCGGCTCAGCGGGGTGAATTCCTTCCCTGGCCTATGTTTATTTCTAACACGCCACATGACCTTGGGAAAATCACTTTCTCTCTGGGCTTCAGCTTTGTCTGTCTACAGTAAGATAGTTGGTTTTCAACCTGTGCTTCTTGAGCCCCCTAAGAGACAGGGACTTGAGGAAGAGGTGAGGAAGGGGACAGTATATGAGACTTCAACAAGAATGATCTACATTTATCATTTATCTGCTTTCTACGTTGGCTCCGTTAGCTCTCCCAGAAGAAATATTTCCTTGGCTTACAATTCCTGAAAACCACTACGCTAGATGATCTCTCCAATTTCTTCCAGCTCTGAGGGTTTATGATTCTATAGGTCTTACCTCTGCATTACATAGTAACCTTGTTGGTTAAACAAATGGTGCTATGCATATTCTCTAAATGGGGAAAGCCAGCAAGGATGATGAATTGTCTAAGGGACATAACTAGTTAGTGGCAAGGCAAAGACTTTTTCCTTCATTCAGTCATTCATTCACTATTTATTGAACACCTCCTGTATGCTGGATCTTGGGGTAAGTCCCAGAGCTACATAAATGGCCTCAGCCCAAGCTTAAGGAGCCCAAATATTATGGATCAAATAGGCATGTTATGTGCTAGTTACGATACAGTGTGTGCCCTAAGATGTGAACAGAGGGCCATGGGAACAGACAGAAAAAAGCAGTAAATGTGTATGCGGAAGGCTTGAAAGGTGTCTCAGAGAAGGTAGTGTCTGGCTTGGGTTTTGAAAATCGGGTAGGAGTTTGGAAAAGAAGTAGATGTCAGGGGCTCAGACCAACAATCAGGTGACTATAGTATATTTCCTCTGCCAGAAACCTACCCTGGGGCCAGGCGTTCAATATAATCTTCTGAAAGTTACCAAACAACATTCTGACCCAGAGATCCAGGCATTAGCTCTGAAGCCAAAAAAAAAAAAAAAAAAGGATTTTTGCCCGGGAGCAAATTCAGGACCTCCCCCTGGGCACTGCTGACTTCGGTGTATCAAGACCACCCTTCTAGACTGTCGAGTCTCTTGCATGGGAGGGGACAATAGCATCTCTCCTGATTCTGCCCGTCCCTTTCTATAGGCTAACAGTTAGGGGTGTTTGCCCACATGGTTATCTGGGAGATCAAAAACTTCTACTTTCCCATTCCCCCACCTCCAATCCTGACTATTGTTTATGTTAAAACGGATGTCCAGTTCTTTTTAAAAATTCAAATAGGGAAAAGAATGTTGGAAGAAGGGAGATATGAACAAAAGGAGGGGCAGCCAAGGGCTCTAATTGTTTTAGAGCGTTTGGACCGATAACATCTACTTTCCCTCCTGTTGCGCCGCAGCTGAGAGACAAGGAGGTTGGCTTGGGAACGGGGAAGGGACAGCGAGAGGAGACCATGTGAGAGTTTAAGAGGAGGGGGAGAGGGGGGGTGTGTTAAAAAAAAAGGAGGAGATGCTAGATGATGACGGGAGAGACACATCGAACTTCAATTTCCCCCTGATCTTGTCCGGGGCTGGTTTTGTATGGTTTCATCCGGATATTCTAGTTTCGAGAGGCTTTTACTTCCTGATACAACTGGGTCCCTCAGGCCTCATCAGCACTCCCTGGAAGCTACCCTAAAGGCTCAGGCTGGTGGCCGCCAGAGAATAAAAATCCACCCTCCACCTGAAGATACAAGTCATCCTGACTTCCTCTGGCCCAGATTTTGTGGTTCACCATAGGGTTTTTCTTCAAAACCAGCTTCAAAGGGTGTTGATGAGGACAGACTGAGAACAAACAACCGTAAGGATAATCTTTAGTCATTTAGTTTCCCTCATACTTGTGTTTTAGAAAATAAAACTCACCATCGGCCGGATCCCAAATTCAGAGAAATTCCATGCTGTCGCCTGTACATGCCCCTTAAAAGATGAAGGTGTTGTACCTTTTCAAGTGGATAGCTCTGGATCAGGGAAGACACTGAAGAGGAGCCCAGCCATTAGAAAGAATCCGTGCAAAGGAAGTAGAGAGTAACATGCCAGGACCCACTGCAGAGGAGCAAGGATGGCCCTGGACTCTGCAGGGGCTCTGCCTCTCACCACTGTGTGTAGGATGAGGCAAGTCAGCACAGATCTCTGATTTTCTGCATCTGCATCTTAATGGTGGGGATAGCTCCCCTCTCTGGCTATTGCATCAGGGATGTTGCGAGGGCCAAGGGTGGTAATGACTATGGAGCACACACCTTATTATCTTTGACTTTGTCCCACACAGCACAGAGATCGGGTAAGTCTGTCATATAAAATGCACTGTGTTCTATGAGGTCATGCTCCACACAATCCCTTCTTTGTCAGGGAACATACAGTTGGAAATAAATGCTCATTCCAGGAAGGCAAGGTTCCCGAGAGATGCGATATCATATCAACCCTCCCAAACAACTCCTGCTCCTTGTCATGCCCCTGGTCCAAAATGCTGAGACAGAGCTGCCTCTTGGACTCAATAATTATCTTATTTTCTTAAGACCCAGTAACTATTCTAGAAGTTGAAGCAGTTTTAGGTCATATACAGCAAAGATCTGTTTTCTCTACAAGGAATTGAGGCAACGACTTACCACTTCTAAGTTTGAAAGGTCTTAACTAACTGACGGTAATTCATTGATCCTACAAGGCCAAAAACATCAAATCTTTTTCCATAAACAGGAAAACAGAGGCAGAGAGAGAAAGGACTAATCATATCTGGGAATGGTAGAGCATAAGGAGGCTTCAGAAAATATATCTTACCATGTTGTCATCTTGTGCCAGAGACATCCAGGCCCCATACGTTTAATACAAACAGAAACAGACTCATAAATACAGAGAACAAACTGGTGGTTGCCAGAGAGGAGGGGGTGGGGGGACGGAGAAGGAGATTAAAAGGTACAAACTTCCAGTTATAAAATAAGGAAGTCTCAGGGATGAAAAGTGCAGGATGGGGAATAAAGTCAATAATACCGCAATAACATTGTATCGTGAGTACACTTAACTGTGGTGAGCAGAGCATAAGGTACAGGATTGTTGAATCACTCTGTTGTACACCTGAAACTAATAGAACATGGTATGTCAAAAAGTAGCAATAGTAATAATATACTTCCTCTGTGGTTCCCAGTTGCATAGCTGTTTAGTGGCAGAACCAAGAATCTAAAACCAGCTCTGAGAAACAGATGTCCTGATCCTCACTTTGTATTTGGACTGAGGTTTGAAAAGACCTTCAGCAGATAGAAGACACATTCAAATACAGATCTGTTATCCAGATTGTCTAAAAATTTTTACCTACTGTTTCTTTTTTTTAAGCTGGATTGAAAACTCTGCTTTCTCCCTAGTTTTATTGAAATGTAATTGACATATGGCATTGTATCAGGTCAAAGTATACAATGTAATGATCTGATGTGTGTATAGTCACCTACTGTTTCTACTTCCGGAAATCTGTCCTACAGAAATACTCAACACACAGATTGTTTTGTAATGTTCACTGTAGCATTGTGTAATAAAAAAAATTATTCAGGGATTGTTTAATTATGAGGACTTCATGGGATGGGATGCTCTGCAGATGTTAAATGTTCAGTTAAATGTGCAGTCACAGAAAGATGTTTACAATATAGTGAGAATGACAAAAGCAAGTTGTGGGGGGCACCTGGGTGGCTCAGTCGGTTAAGCTTCTGCCTTTAGGCTCAGGTCACAATCTCAGGGTCCTGGGATCGAGCCCCACATCAGGTTCCTGGCTCAGCAGGGAGCCTGCTTCTCCCTCTCCCTCTGCCACTCCCCCTGCTTGTGCTCTCTCTCAAATAAATAAATAAAATCTTTAAAAGAAAAACGCAAGTTGCAGAACAGTGGGCATGACATTGTTATATTCTTACAAAAATAAATTATTGGTATTTACATATATGTATGTGTGTATACAAAATTTCCCCAACCCTAATAAGAGAGAAATGCCTACCTCATCAGGTTGTCATGAGGTTTAAATGGGTGATGAACGGACAGCAGCTAGTACGCTGCCTGGTTCATAGTGAGCACTCAGTGCTGGTTATGAAGCTGCCGCTTTGACAATGCTGTTTTGTGCAGTAAGAATCATGAGAAGTAGGAGCAAGAATGAGCCTGTCACTTTTATTAAAAAAAAATACAAGTGTGGGTGATAAATAAATTTTATATATTTATGTAAATTTGTGTTTATTATATATATACTTATATAAATGTATATTTGTTATATAGATGTTTTATATATTTATTTATATTTATATATTACATTTATTATATAAACACACATTTAAATACATATATTTATAATTTAGATAAATATTTATTAAAAAAATTTTTTTCTTAATCTTTCTAAGTAAGAAACCCAAACCACTTCAGGAAAGGAAATGCAAAACCATCAAGTTAAAACTGTCCAGCAACCAACAATGTGGGTGGATACACTGCTTTGAAGCCCAAAGGTCCTTCCGTTGTTTGGCTCAGAAGTCCACACCACAATGCTAATAGAAGCTAAAATGAGATAGATGGACAGACCTTAGCCACCAGACCCTAAGCCCCTCATGGGATGAACTAAATCCTTACTGGGCTCGCGGGACTCCTGGCACCCAGCCCAGCCTCTTCTCAGCAGTCCAGTGTGAGGGCCGTGGGCCAGCTTCTGGCCGTCCCTCCCCACCTCAGGTTCTGCCTGTTGCTTAATCAGCTGGGGGGCTTGTTAAGCAGGATCCAGCTCTAGGTGCTCCTCCCACTTGAGGGCTTTGCTCCTAAAAGGAACCCTCAGAGCACATTCCAAGATCTCCCCACCCACAACCCAAGCATTCTGATTCCATAGGTCCAGGGTGGGGCCCTGGAATCCGCATTCTAATGGCCACTTCCAGATGATTCAATTAGGTGGACAAGGGACACTCGGGGGATATCACCCCCAGGGTCATAGGAAAAGGCACATGTGTCTTCTGAGAGGCTGCAGGACATGGAATGAGCCCACAGTTTTCAGTAATTCTAGAAGAGGCTAATGGCGGCCACCCCTTGCCTCCTCCTCCTAAAAGAACCCTGTTCCAGAGGTAAGAAGCCCACTTTCGTTCCTTGCTCTTGGCCCCTGGGGAATGTCCTCACCAGGGCTTGCTAGAGGTGTTGCTGTCCCGACTCTGTGCAGCCACAGGCCCTTAGATGCGGCAGGAACCTGGTGCTCGGCTGCAGGTGAAGCCATTCCTGCAGGCCGTTCCTCATCGACAGGCGTCATTCCTCTTTGCCTCCCCTCCCAGAGCTGGGCGCCAGCCACTCTCCCCAGGGATTCAGCCTGGGTCCCTGCCCAGCGAGGGGCCTTTCTTCCTCCTAACAAAGGTAGTGACCCCAAGGAAAGCTGCTGACTGAACTGGCCCCAAAGTCCGGTGATCGAGGCGTGTGTCCCAGACCCCAGCTTTTGGAATCCTCTCTGTCCCTGGGCTGAGAGAGCTGGAGGACAGTCTGCTGAGAGGTAGGGGCAGGTCTCCAGGCCAGGCCTCAAAAGACTTGTGCCTCATATAAATATAATTTCCCCAGAGCAGAGAGGCTGGGACAGACCTCCTCACAGTGCCCACCCACCCCCAGCCACATCCACACCCGTCCTCAGGGCATAATGCCATCTGTGACCTCTTTCCTTCCAGAGCTGCCTCCGTGTTCGTTCCAACCCGGTTCCAGGTGGATTAATGTGGGCAAAGGTGGGGCCGGGGACCGCAGAGTGATGGACCCTTGTCCCCATGGGGCGGCCCTGTTCTAGGCATACTTGCGGACGGAAGGCAGTAACAAGAATGGATTATAAGCTATTCTTGGCCATCATTTCTCAGGCCTGGTGCAGCGCTTCCGTCTTGCTGGAGAAGAAACCAGAGCCCAGACATGGAAAGAGGCTGACCTGGGCTCCCTGAGGCCCCAGGCCACGCCTCCAGCTCCCAGGCCAACAGCTTTTCTGCAGGGCCTTTGCCATCTCTCTGGGCGCTCCCTCTTCTTCATGGCCTCGCGCCTCTGGAACCGACACCAGAGGGAGTCTCTATCTTTCCACTCTGTCTCTCTGCTGGGGACACAGATGATTCAGTCAATTCTAAATAGCAGCTGGAGAGATATGCAATGAATGTGCAGGGCCAAACACATCCACCCCTACTTGAAGCTGCTGACATGTTCACGTGGGTTCCAGGAAGGCATTTGCCGTTAGGTAGAGCGAGCCTCTGCACGCTTACATATATGTACCTGTGTGTTGAGAGAGAGAGAGACAGAGAAGACAGGTGGGAAATAACAATAATTCTTTATTTTTTTAATATATATTTTTTTAAGATTTTATTTGTTTATTCATGAGAGACGGGGAGAGAGAGAGAGAGAGAGAGAAGCAGAGGGAGAAACAGGCCCCCAAGGAGCAGGGATCCCGATGCGGGACTCGATCCCAGGACCCCGGGATCGTGACCTGAGCCGAAGGCAGATGCTTAACCATCCGAGCCACCCAGGCGCCCAATAATTCTTTATTTTTTAAAGACTTTATCTATTTTTGTGAGAGAGAGAGAGGGAGCTGCACACATGAGTGACAAGGGGAGGGGCAGAGGGAGAAGCAGGCTTTCCGCCCAGCAAGGAGCCCGACGCAGGACTCGTTCCCAGGACCCCGGGATCATGACCTGAGCCGAACACAGACGCTTAACCCACTGAGCCACCCAGGTGCCCAATAACAATAATTCCTTACTGAGCTGAGAAGCCCAAGCCCACAATGTCCCCCGCCCCCACCTTTCTTTTCAGGGCTGATGCCAAGTAACTTCCTCTTAGGATGATAAGGAGAATTTAAAGTATCATAAACAGGCCCAAAGAGAGAGGCCTTTCAGATTCAGAATGTGACTTAACTCAGAGTTCTTTAGTGAAGTTGAATTTCCAGATATGCAAGAAATGTGTTTTATTGGAAAAACTCTTAAAACATTTGAGTCAATGAATTCTTTGTCTAATGATCAAGGATCAGGAAGGATCTCAGAAGCCATGCTCAATACCAACTCTGGCTAGATGGTTCTGGAAAAATAACAGTTGACATGAATCTTGCACTCACAGTACTAGACTCTGGAGCTGCCTGATTCCATAGCCACTAGCCACGTGTGACTTTTAAAATTTGAACTAATGAAAATTAAATAAAATTTAAATTGCATTTTCCGGTTGCACTAGCCACATTTGAAGTGGTCGGTAGCCCCATGTGGCAAGTGGCTGCAGTATTGAATAGCATGGATAGAGACCATCATCACAGGAAGTCCTGGTGGACATTGGTGCTCTAGAATGTTAAAGCCCCAAGAGGGGAGCAATTCACAACTGCCTTGATCGCCATCATGATCCTAGCTCGTAAATACAGTGCATCGCTCATGACGAGTGCTCAATAGATACATGTTGAAGGAAGGAATCACTAAATTTGGGGTTGCATTATAATTCCTAAGCATTCTGTTTGAAGATGTTTTCAAATAAATATTCACATCAGTGATTCTGATAACAAAAATTTTGGGGGGTAGGGGTCAGATCCAAATTAATTTTAAAGTCAAGTTGCACGCCTTTTTAATGTAATCTGTTTTCTCAAGAGTTAACAGGTTTCTCTGAGTAATTGATATGACTTGGGAGCTGTTATAGACACACACACACACACACACAAATACAAGATCTAAAACACTTTCATAAGGGTTTTTATGACATGGTGAAGAAGGGAAAGATGACTTGTGATCTCTGGTTTACCTATTATCATTTGAAGAGGGACTATTCCATAAGTTTAATTTTAAAATTATGTTAATCATCATTTTCCTAAAACTTGTTAGCACCTCCTTGCCTTCTTCAGCTCTTCTTCCTCGGGGCCATGGCTTGGCAGCCTTTCACCACACCCCACGTATTTCCTCAGGAGTACTGAGACCTGGAAGACTATTTCCTCCTCTACCAAGTGATCCGGGACTGCCTGCGTTTATGCTGGGGGCTGGGGAAGCGGACGATGCAACTCATTTTAAAACCTACACAAATAGGCTCTAAGGGTGAGAGGTTTTGTGACTAAAGCCCACTCGTTTCTAGTATGGGGTTCTGTGACATTGATACGGGCTGCTCGGTTCTCTAGACAGCGATGTCTGTGGTGCTGTCATTTGCTTGTCTCTTGGTTTCCAAGTGTGTTCCGGGTAGGTGAGACCACCAGGAAAATGATGGGAAGCCAAGTACAATTACTCTGTCAGAAAAAGTAGAGAACAATGAACTACCAGACTGTGTGGTGACGGAGGAGTTCGGAGAGGCAAGCGGTGCTGGTGGAACGGAGCACTCATGAGGACTTCCACCCAGCGTGGCCATGCTACGGAATCTTACCACAGCTTCCTGAAACCAGAGCTACCGTCATTCCCATGTTTTGGTTGGGGAAGTTAAATAACTTGTTCGTGGCTAGTACACGACAGAGCCAGAAATTAAACCAGACAGACTGGCTTGGAGGCCGCAAGCCGAACTCTACCCCGTGCTGAAAAACTCCTGGAGGAGGAGGTGGCTCCAGCTCCCGAAGAGGATAATCCCCAAGGCTCAGTGATGT